CCCAGGCTAAATCCGGCCCAGTCCGGCTTGCTGGCCGGTTCATGCGCCGTACGCTTGGCGCTGGAAAGATTTGGCGTGCGACGTGGCGCCGCGGGCCCGCCTCTCTCAGACGCCATCTCTTCCGCCTAAAGAAGGCATGGCAGGAAGGTGGCGCGAAGGAGGAGGAGGAGGAGGAGGAGGAGGAGGAAGAGGAGCAAAAGGAGGAGGAGGAGGAGGGGGAGGAGGGGCTCTCACGGGGAGATCGCCTCGCAGGGATAACGCGCTGTTCCGAGATCGTTGTTGCACGCTCTCTTTCAAACGCCACTCGTGATCGGGCTTAGTCGCCGAATCGCTCTTGCGAAGCTCTCCCTCGTCGAGCCGACGGCTCCGGATCAGAGCTGGCGGCCGGGGGGGCTGCGACGTGCGCCATGGTCGTCACGTTCGTGGGCTCCTGGGAGGTCCAGCGGAGCGGAGTGATACGTGATACTGCAGACCCGGCCGAGACCTCGCGGCTCCCCGGGGGTTTGCGAAGTGTGCAACCGTCGCCCTTTTCGCGAGCTCCTGGGGGGTCCACTGGAGCGGAGCGGTCCTGGGTATGGTCGCCACACGTGTACAAAAGGGTTTGGTACGTCGCAGGGATGTGTTGCCCCCCCAGTTTCCAGGAGCAGGAGCCGCTTTTTGGTATACCAGTTCCATGTTTCAGCCGTTTTTCCAGCTTCGGGAAGTGTCCCAGCAGCTGCGCCTCGCCGAGAGCGTCAGGGGGGGTGCCTGGATCGTCCCCGAGGGCCGCGGGTGGAAGGCTCGAGCTATGACCCGGCGGGCCGGGCGAACGGGGGGGGGGGGCAGGCGAACGCGTCGGGCGAGCGGTTGGTGGGGGGGGGAGATCGGGAGAGGGGGTCACACGAGATCCGTGGCACGCAGCCAGACCCCCGACGCCATGATTTGTTCGTTGCGTCGGGTCTCGACCCATTCCCCTGGACCGGTTTTTCATCCTGAGTCGTTTTTTGATTTCCGCTATTTCTCTGCGGCGCAGACATATGTCAGGACGACGGCATGACCCGCGAGCTGCGCCCCGACCTGCCATGGCTCACGCCGTCGTGCTGCCGCGAGGGCCTGTGTGGATACTTCGGCGCTGGAGGAACAAACGACGCACCCAGGAAGAGCGGCCCTGGCGGGGCCTGGGCGAATCTTTGACGGGTCACTGACGCCACGTGTTCCTGGCACGACTGACGAATCTCAAACGGTTGTCTTCCAATGGCACACTTGCAACAGTGATGACAATGAGTTGTAGGGGTCCGCCCGCCCGCCCGCCCGCCCGCCGCGCGCCGCCCGCCGCCCGCTGCCGCCGCCCGCCGCCCGCCGCCTGCCGTCGCTCGCCTGCCGCTCGCCCGCCGCTCGCCCGCCGCTCGCCGTTCCCCGCCGCCCCCGCCGCCCGCGCCCGTCTGTCATGATTTTTTCTGTGACGTCGACCCCTGGAGGTCTCGACCCGCTCCCTCGGACCGGTTTTTCATCCCGAGTCGTTTTGTTGACGGTCCCGAGGGCCTGCAAGGGTCGCCCCAAGCCCGAAAATAGCAAAAGACTTCCCGTCATGAGTTGGTTCATTCCCCGAGGGGGTGTGGCAGCCAGATCCGGCCCCGCCGCCCAGGCGCTTTTTCCTCGAGCCACGGGCCGGCTCTCTGGCGCGGGGAGGGCGCCAGAGAAGCAGCCCACGGAAGAAGCGGATTCGTTGACCGCCCCCTGTTCTTGAGTCGGGCATGTCCCTCTACGAGAGGAAGATTCAAAAGCAATCCCAAAATAGTACGGGGATTATTTTGTCCCTGTTTGGCTATTGTTGAATATGTTTTGACCATGGTTTACATGTCTTCCTAAGTCCGCCTGTAGGAGGACATGCCCGACCTAACCCTGTTTCACTGGGCCCCCCGTTGTCTTCGACCCGATGGGATGGCACGGGGCATGTTTTTCTTCGGCAGGGGATAGCGATGCAGATCCACCTCGTCCCCTCCCCTCCCCCAGAAAGGAGGAACGCCTTCAGAGGACGGGGGAGGGAGGGGGAGAAGGACCTGGATCTGTATAAACGTTCGATTCCCACCCTTGGGGGGGCGGGGGGGGCAGGCTGAGTGCGGCGGCCTCCTCGGGCGGCAGATAGCTTCTTGGGGGATGGGGGGCGAGGGCGACGGCCTTCTGAGATGGCAAGCTTCTTTTGATCGGAGGGGCTGCCCCCTCCGAAGGCACAAACCTTCCGAGAGGCGGGTGGGGGTTGGGGGGCCTCCGCAGAAGAAAAGACGGCATGAACATGAGCGGTCGACTGTCCTCGCGGATTGCTCGGATCTACGCTGGGCACCCCTGGCGCGCTCCGCGCGCCAGGGAGGGAGGTCCGGGGCAGATCCAAGAACTCCGCGCGGACCGTCGAACGTTATGTTTATGCTGTTTCTCTTATTCTAGACCTCTGAGCAGGCCACACACCAGCCCTGCCCCCTATGCGTGCCGCCAGCTCCGTTCGGTGAGCGTCGTCGGGGTCGACCGGCCCTGCGGCCTGATTATCGAGGAAGTGGAGCCGCGCGAACACCTTGTCCTCGTCGGCCTCCTCCTCGTCTTCGTCCTCGTCCTCGTCGAGGTGATATTGTCCTCCTCCTCCTCCTCCTCGTCCTCGTCCTCCTTGTTGTCCGCCGCGCCTCTTCCTCGCCCTCCTGGCCTTCTGTGTCATCCTCGTCCTCGTCCTCCTGGTTTTCTATGTACTCATCCGTATCGTCGGTATCTCTTTCCTCGTCGTCATCCTCGTCACTATCGTCGTCTAACTTACTTTTCCCATCCCGAGTTCGGATCGGATCGGAGTGTCGGCGCCGTGATTAAGGCCAGGGGAGGCCCATCAATGACAGGGTGCTGTACTACATCGAGAGGTACGTTCGCGAGGACCTGCAAGAGGAGACCATACTTTTCGTCGCCGGAGGGGGAGAGGAGGGGAAGCCGGGTGTACAGTGCGCACGTCAAGCAAGAAACGGGCCTGCCAGCAGGTGTCCCACGAGAGTTTCTGATCCCCCGATGGACCCTCAAAGATCGACGAAGAACCTGCAGACGGCCGATCGGGATGCCGTTCGCACGGTTTCTGGAGCCTTCGTCGAGTTCGGGCTGTCAGATTGGGCCTCGGCCCACTTCCTTTCGTTTTGAGAATACTTGATGGGAGGTTCAGAGAAAGTCTCCCTTTCCAGGCCCCTGGACCGTCAACAAACAAATCCTGATGAAAGCACGGTCCTGGGGAAGGGGTCCAGATCTCCAGGGGGGGCACGTCGTAAAAAAACACGTTGTGGGAGTTCGGGGGGGGACAGCAGGTCTTGGGACCTCGCAGGGGGGCGGCCGCACCCAGAGGGCAGCGCCTGCTGGGAGCTGAGCCCTTCGGGGGATGGGTAGATGAGGGCCCTGCCCTTCCAAGTCGATTGGCAGGTCCGCCCGTTGGGCACTGTATGGCTTCACTTCCCGAGAAGGCGGTCCAGCCGACATTTTTGCGGGCATGCGCCCACGATGTTCGGTCCCCAGGCCATCTTTATGTCGGTGTTTTGCTCAAAAAGCACCCGGGCCCCGTGGGGAGGTGGCACCTTCCCGGCCGAACAGGCTCTGGAAATTGTCAGAGGACGCGCAATGGAAGGACGACAAATGGGGGGCAGCGAGGGCTGCAGAAAGGGGTCCCATGAGGGCCCAACAGGGGGCCTCTAGGGCCCGAAAAGGGTGCCTGTCTTCCCCCCCGTGCATTGCCCCATGTTAATTCGCTCCCAAGAATTCCCGGAATGCTTTCTGAGAGTTGAGAGGGCTTCAGATTAGAAGCCAGCAGCACTGGGTGGCCCCGCAGCTCTTTCCGGCGCCGGGCAGGCATCCCTGGAGCAGCCTGCTTGAAGCTCCAGCGTGTCCCAAGGGCGTTTTCCTACTCGTTCCCCATACGCGTGCCCGAGGCCTTTCCGCAGGTCCTTCGCAGCTCCTTCGAAGCTCATGCGAAGCTTCCCCTCCAAGGTTTGCAAGGTCCCCAGGCATGCTGGCCGGCGTCCTGGCAAGCGTCTCCCACAGTGGTTTCAAGCGCTTCGGATGGCGCTGCTGTCCGGGTGTTGGACGCCAAGAGTGGCGCCGCAAGTGGCCCTGCTGGATGGTTCTATATGTATGTACAAATTGAAGAAAAGAACAACAAACACATAACAATATAAAAGCATCAGCTTCAAAACATAAAAGCAACAAAACAACGAAACAAACAAAAACAACACGTGCAACTCCAGTCCCCGAGGGGGCACGCTCCCCGGCAGAGGCGGGGGTCCACTTGTTGGGCGGCGGCGCGAGCTGCGCCACGCTCGCGAGGCCCACACGGAGGCGTCAGGGGATGGGCACGGGAGGGACATTGTTTTTTATGATTCAGCGCATATGCACATTGATCTGTGTGCCCATGTCTATCAATGTCTGTGTATATATTCAGATACAGCATAATTAAGCAAAGAGACCCCCACCCCGGCCCAGGGTCGGCCACTCCGCAACCATCTGCGGATACTTGTTGATACCCCCTCCCTGGGGCCTCAAGACAGCCCAAGAGGCCTCCAAGACGGCCCCGGGAGGCCCCCAAGATGGTCCAAGAGGGCCCCGAGACGGCCAAAGATCACTCCAAGACGCCCAAGACGGTCCCAAGACGGTCCAGGAGGCCTCCAAGACGCCCCAAGGAGGCCTCCAAGAGGCTTCCCAAGAGGGCCCCAAGACGCAAAAAGTGTCGGTGTCCCAAGAGGCCCCCAAGATCCAAGACGGCCGAAGAGGCCCCCTAAGACGGCCCAAGACGGCCCAAGAGGGCTTCAAGACGGCCCAAGAGGCATCCAAGACCGCCCAAGAGGGCCCCAAGACGGCTCCAAGAAGGGGCCCAGACGGGGGATCCGAACGAGCTTCTCGGGCCCAAGAGGCCCCCAGGAGGCCCCCACCAGGCATGCCCAGCTGTACGGCGCGAGTGTTCTTGCACTCTGCCTGCCCATTGCGCCGCCAGAGCGCGGCTTCCTCCGCTCGAGCATCAAGGAAAGCTCACGGCGGCCTCCAGCTGAGCGAGGCGCCCGCGGTGATGCTGGCCATGCGGCCGAGGGACGACCCGCTGGAGAGCATCCTGTACATCACCTCCGTGGGCGTTCCGTTCTCCGCTCAGCGCGCCACTCCAGGGTGGGGGAAGGATCGCGCGGTCGCAGCCTTGCTCGTGGCCTTCGGCTACGCGCAAGATGGACCTTTCGCGGGAGCGACTTCTTCAGGGGCAATACTGGGGGGACGCATCGACCCCCAATCGCCCATGATTGCCGATGGGGGCCGATCGCTAGCGGGTGCTGATCGCCGGTATATCGGCGATGTATGCGGTGTATCGCCGAATCCAGGTCGATGTTCCACCCCCTTGGGAGACTCCCCCCCAACCGTTCCCCATCATCGCAAGCTGGGCCAGACCAGAGGGGCGACAAGGAGGGAGCATGAGGAGATTGATGGTTTTTGTGTGACATCCACAGCGAACGACCCCCCGGGATGGAGCAAAAGTGAAGAGTCGCGACGAGGAGGAGGAGGAGGAGGAGGAGGAGGAGTAGGAGGAGGAGGAGGAGGAGGAGGAGGAGGAGGAGGAGGAGGAGGAGGATATGGAGGATATGGTTTCCCCCCCCCCAGCGGCCCATCTAAGCCGCGCACAAAGTGTCACTCCTGCGTGCAGCCGAGAGGAGGATCGAGCTGGATAATCGAATATGATCGAAGAGGAAGAGGAGAGGGAGGAGGAGAAGGCGGAGGAGGAGGAGGAGGAGGGGGAGGAGGACGGGGAGGAGAAGGAGGAGGAGGAGGAGGAGGAGGAGGAGGAGGAGGAGGAGGAGGAGGATCGGAGCTTCTTGATGTTCCTGGCTCGTTTCTCTGCCTCCAGGCACCCCAGGAGGCCGGCCTCCAGGGAAGACGAGGATGGGGGCAGAGGACGAGAGCCAGGAGGGAGGGAGAAGGAAGGGAGGTGAGGTAAGGTGGGGAGGGCTTGGGGGCGCGCATGGAGAATGGGAAGGAAGGATGAAAGGAAAGATGATCAGTCCCCGGAGTCGCCGTGGGACTGGGGTGACAGTCGGAACGAAGCTGTCGTTGTCGATTCTTCATGGCGGGCACCGTTCAACCTCTCAGGGCAGCCCATCGTTGTCAAATTTTGCGCGGCGGTTGCACGACGACATTTGGCGCACCGTCGATCCTCTCAGGATAGCCCACATTGTCAAGATTTGCGTGGTGGTTGTACGACGAGCCGGGCAGGGTGGTCACGCGCACGTTGGTGCTCACAATCGTCATGGTGCTCGCAGGTGATTGGCTATGCGCAGGCTCTGGGTAGGCACTGGAGAAGCCTTGAGCAAGCCTTACACAGCTAGGCCGTGGACGCGCCTAGGTTGGTTGGGCTCTGGATTTGGCCTGAAGATGGAAGGGGGAGAGGTACGTAAAAGAAGAGAGATGCAGGGCGGAAGATGTGTAGGGGAGGCACGGGGGGGGAAGGGAGAGAGACACGGAGAGGAAGGGGGGAGGGGGCAATGGGCAAGGAGAGAGGGAGGGGCGGAGGGTTGGGATTCCTCGTTTCTCCTCCTCCTCCTCCTCCTCCTCCTCCTCCTCCTCCTCATCTGTTTGCTTCTCCTCGCTCCTCCTCCTCCGCCCCATCCTCCTCCTCCCCTCCTCCTCCTCCTCCTCCTCCTCCTCCTCTTACTCCTCCTCCTCCTCATCCCTCCTCGCTCCACCTCGCTCCTCGCTTCTCATCGTTCCTCCTCCTCCTGTTCCTGATTCCGATTCACTCCGTTTGAACCACGAGGGCACACCTCCTTCTCCTCCTCCTCCTCCTCCTCCTCCTCCTCCTCCTTCTCCCCCTCCTCCTCCTCTTTCTCCTCCTCTTCCTCCTCCTCCACCTGCATGCTCCTCCTGAACGAGGACGGTGCACGTGGAAGGGCAAGTGCTTCGCAGAGGTTCGGTGGGGATTGTTGTGAAGACAGGTGGTGCTTTGGCTGGGCCCAGGTCGTGTTGTGCATGCTGTGATGGGCTGGGTGCACGTGGCGCATGCTGCGAGTGCTTGGCAGCGTTCGGTTTTGAGGACCCCTTTCATCTTGTTGAGCGACGCAGAGGTGTCACGTTGGCGGTCCAAGTCGTGCGGCGCACGCTGTGCGAGGCAGTGCCAGCGTGGAGGCCTTGCTGCGTGGAATCCGCAATGTTGCCTTCGGGGGACTCAGCTTCCTGTCGAAGGGCTTCTCGAAGTGACCCGGGGGTTTGCTGTCCGTCATGACACGCGGAGGCAGGGGGCGTGGCTCTTCCTGGGGCCTCCAGACTCGGCCTTCCCTGCGTCCGGAGGGAAGCGGAAACCCACAGGGCGCTCTGACAAGGCCATGGCGCCGAGGAGCGATGAATAGTTAGTTTCCAAGCCTCTGGCCGCCAAACCGCCTGCCTGTTCCTCCTTGATCCTTGATCCTGTGCTCCCCCCTCTCCTCCTCGATCCCCCTCCTTCCTCCTCCTCCTTCTCCTCGCGTCTCGCTCCTCGCTTCTCGCTCCTCGCTTCTCGCTCCTCGTTCCTCGCTCCTTGCTCCTCCTCTTCCTCCTCCTCCTCCTCCTCCTCCTCCTCCTCCTCATCATCATCATCATCATCATCATCATCATCATTCCTCCGCTTCGTATTCGTCGCTCCTCGCTCCTCGCTTCTTCCTCCTCCTCCTCCTCCTCCTCCTCCTCCTCCTCCTCCTCCTCCCCCTCCTCCTTTCTCCTCTTCCTCTTCCTGCACGCTCCTGCTGCCCCTCCTTGCGTCGCGCTCCTCCTCGCCCCTTTTCGCCCCTCCTCGCTTCTCCTCCCCGCTCTTCCGCTTCTCCCCCTTCCGGCCGACGACCACGGCAATGCTGACCCCAACGACGGCGCCAGCGACGACGCAGACGCCGACGGCGGCGGCGACGCCGACGACGACGCTGACGACGGCGACAGCGGCGACGACGCCGACGATGGCCGACGGTGGCGACGACGGCTGCGACGGCGGCGACGGCGGCCGACGGCGGCGTCGGCGACGACGACACCTCACGCGCGCGGAGGTCCTCCGTGTACGAGACGGTGCGGTCCCTGCGGCAGATCCGCGGGCAGCGTCTAGGGGCGGTGCCTCCCCCCCGCGCGCGGCGCGGAGGACGCTCGCGCCGTCGTCGTCGTCGCCTTTCCCATGATGAGAACCTTGATTATGATGAGAATGATGCTGATGATGCTGACGCTGATGCTCACGATGACGATGTTGTTGATCATGATGCTGATGCTGATCGTGATGATGATGATGATGCTGATGATGATGATGATGATGCTGCTGATCATGATGATGATCATGATGATCATGATGAGATGATCATGATGATCATGATGAGATGATCATGATGATCATGATGATCCTGATGATGTGTGGTGTTTGTGATTCTGTATGCTGATGAGATAATGGTGATGGTGCATGGTGGTGCGTCAATGTGGTTTGATCAAGCATCAACAACGATGCCATTACACAGCCGTGCATCACCATGACATCATACTACGCATTGTCACACCTCATCACCATCATTATCAGCAGCAGCATTTTCATCCGAATCCTCCCCATCATCATCCTCATCATCATCCTTATCATCTCTGGCATCAGCATCATCGTCATTACCAGCAGCAGCATCCTCGTCATCATCATTATCATCGCCGTCATCATCATCCTCATCATCATCATCAGCTGCATCATCATCATCATCATCATCATCATCATCATCATCATCATCATCATCATCATCATCATCATCATCATCATCATCATCCAAATCATCCAAATCATCATACATCATCATGCCTCCGTCGTTGTCGCCTGCCGTCAGATAGGTGGGGGGAGGATCTCGAGGTTTTCGGGCGTCTTCGTCGGTGCCTGGCGGCTTTCCAGCCTCGGCACGCTTTCCAGCAGCTCTGCCTCGCCGAGAGCGCTCCGGGGACGCACGCGTCGTCCCGAACTGGCGCCGGAGTCCCGAGTTGTGACCCGGAGGTCCTTGCGTCGCGCTGTTTTTCCGCCAAGCGTGTCTGCCGGGATTCGGGCCCCTTGTGGCCCCGCGAGGCCGTCCCAGATCGATTCGGCTCGAGAGCTGGCGCAGAAAGACTGGGCATCTCTGGTCGTGATCTGTGTTGACGATGTTGCTGCGCAAGGTCGGGTCGTTGTTTCGCAATGGCGACTTTGGCAATGTCGATTGCCGGATCTCCGATTGCCAGATGTCCGCAATGTCGATTGTCGCAATGTCGATTCCCGCAATGTCGGATCTCAGGGTCGTTGTTGTCGTCGTCGTCGCCCTTACTTTTCGACGACGCGGTTTTCGTGTTGTTGCGCGGGCCTCTGGAGATGTCTCTCCCCCTCACCACGGACGGCGCGATTCAGACGTGCCCGCTGGTTGTCGCGGTGCTGTGACCTTCGCAGACCTCCAGCGGACTTTGGCGTCAGGATTTTGACCTTTGCCATCGCTCGAGGGACAGAGAGAGGATCGAGGACAGAGTGCCGAGGTTTTTAAGCACCTTCGTTTCGTGCTGCATCGTTCTGCCTCCATGATACCGCCAGGGACCTCCGGAGGCATCTGGGGGGATCTCTGCGGCGACGACATCTCTGGAGACTCCCGCACAATGTCCAGGCGAGAGAGAGAGAGAGAGAGATGAGGTGGGCCAGACTCAACCTGGGATGCATTAGCGATGCTCTAGTACACCCTCCCGTTTCAAGCCCCCCCCCCTCCCATCAGTCCCTGCAAGTGTTCCCCTCCGCTGCGGGAAGCCCACCACCTGGAAATACGAGCGCCCCGTGGGCTTGCCATTCAGACGAAATGCTGCTTTTCGGGGAAAGGATCCACATTCCGTCCTTCTGTACTAGTAAACGCGATGAAGTATCATCTGAAAGTCCAAGGGAGGTTCCTTCGATAGCCCTGTTTTGAAAATGTTCCGCCCTCCATCCTTGCAAGCGAAGCACACTTTTAAGACCAAGCGATACCAAACGAGAGCGCTATTTCGAAAAAGGGAAATTTATCCAAACACTGGAGCATAGGATCGTGATAACTCACCAAGGAGGTCTCAAGTGGGAGCCCATGTTGAAAAGGAAGTATCCGCTTGAGCTGTTTCAGACGGGTGTGCACAGCGCTAAGGCGAGAGCTCCGTTTTGAAACATGGTTCGTCCCTCCGCGGCCGCTCTCCTGCTGGAGGCCTGAAGGTTGACACCAACAATAGCACCGGCGGTGTGCCTCCACCGAGGGAAGATGATCCCGATGCCGGTGGCGGCGCTATTCTTCGGGCCTCCTAGAATTGGGCGGTGGAAACGACACGACAGGGCCGTTTTTTTACCCGTTCCGTTTTGCCGTTTTTGTTGCCGGTTCCGACGCCTTTCTTTCGTCAGTTATACGTCGTGTTTTTGTTGCAGATCCTGGCTCCGGTTCCACTCTTGGAGCCGTTTTTCTGCCGTTTCGGTGGCCGTTTTTTCGCCGCTTCCATGTTCAAGACACTTTTTCGGGAACGGTGAAAACACGGCCCTGCTGCTTCTGGGGCCCACCAAGCCCTGGAGGGTCGAAAGAGTACCACTCGTGCCGAAATCTGATTCGGAGCGCCTTCCCCTGGTGGAGGCAGCCCGCTGTTCTGGTGCCGGTGCCCGCTTCCAGGCCTCCGACCCTGGCATCCTGCATGGCCTTCCCTCGGCGTCCCTGCCCGGCGAGCTCTGCCGCGTCCCCGACTGCTGCTGCCTGGCGCTTCGTGCCCTCACGCCGCCGTCGACGTCTCGTCAGGGCGGGGCGGGCGATTCGGTGGAGACCTCCTCGCAGCTTACGCTCCGGGTGTCCATCCCGTGCACGGGAGCCTGGGCTCTCGCCATGGTGCCGCGCGCACTCGCCGTGCGTTGACGCGACGCTTTGGCTCCCTCGGTGACGGCGTCCAGGGCCCCGTCTCGGGAAAGCCCGGGGGCCCAGGACGAAAGCTCCGGTGCCAAGGGGCCGAGAGTTCGGATGAGCAAGTCCAGACCCCCCTCGCGCCGTGAACAAAGCACGACGGGAGGCTGTTCCTTATTTCCAGCCCCCAGGGGCCCTCACCGGGTCTCGGAACCGTCAGAAAACGGCTGAGGATGAAAAGCCTGTCCCGGGGGAAGGGGTCCAGAGTTCTGAGGGTCACGTCCTGAAAAAAATCACGACGTCGGGGGTCTGAGAATGTGGTGACGTTGGATGCCTGGGTCCCTTGCTGGGTTCCCCGTCTCGGGTCCCGGGGCCCGAACCGAAAGCCGGTGCCAAGGACGGTACCGAGAGTTCGGATGAGCAAATTTGGGCCTCCTCGATGGGGTCGGAATAATAAGGTGGTCACCTAGCGCGTTCTACTACTCGCAAAGTGCCGACTCGCAAACTTCAGAAACAAAATCACATGTTTGCCTCGAGATAACCCTGAAGGGCCTTTAATGCTGCCCGCCCCCCCCCCCCTCCGAAGCTCTCGTCTGGCAATCAATCATCCTTTGCCTCCGAGTCCTCCCCCTCGTCTTCCCACGTGACGAGCGTCTCCTGCCCAGCCTGTGCGTACAAAGAGAAAGAGGAGGAGCGAGGGGGGGAGGGGGCAAGCTAGGTGCGCTCGAGTCATACATGACTTCCGACCCCTCCCTCCCATCCCTTACCATGGCGTAGATATCCTTTCTATTCGCACAGTCGGATGTCGAGCAGGGCAATGATCGCAAGAGGGTGCGCGATGCATGGTAGGGGACGGCATGTCATGGCGTAGAGGAGCACGGCAGAGCGTAGCATGCCATAACATGGCGTGACATTGCGCAGTGAAGCATTACATCACAAAGCATTGCAACTCAAAGCATGGCATCTCACAACGGCGCCGAACACAACACCGCACAGCATGTCATGGCATGGCGCCAGGTTCTTTGGAGGGTGAGTGTATCGTCTTCGAGAGGTCTGGGCTGGTCTGGAGTCGTGGGTCCATGTCCAGTTCCTTGGTCTCCCCAAAACGCTCCACAGAAGGCGGGGCTGATGGAGAGTACCCTCTGGCGCTCCTTTCAACATCGCCTTCTCAGAGCAGAAACGGGGCTCCCGCTTGATACTTCCTGAAATCGTCTTCATATGGTGTAATTGTGGAGGAGTGGGAGGAGGAGAAGGCGGAAAAGGAAGACGAGGAGGAGGAGGAGGAGGAGGAGGAGAAGGAAGAGGAGAAGAAGGATGAGGAGGAGGAGAAGTGGAGGAGAAGTGGCCGCCGCGAAGGATTAATCATTGACCAAGGATCGCTGGGGGCCCCAATCCGTCAATAGACCCGTGCGAAAAATAAGCATGCTCCCATTGTGGGGGGAGGAGTTAAGGACCCTTCTGGGTTTGTTGATCGCAAATCCCCCGCGGCGGGTCCAGGTAGTTTGCGAGCAGATACTTTGCGAGAAGTGGAACGCGCTTGCCTAGATGGTGTTGGAGGATCGCCCCGCATCGCCGATGTATCGGTGATGTGGTTCAATGTGGAGCCTGATTTTCTCCAGGCCGACACCGCCGATGCATCGCCGACGTCGCCAGTGTATCGCCGATGTATCGGCGATGCGCTGGCGATGCGGTGCGCTGCTCCGACCCCATCCGGGAGGCCTCTACTTCTGGAGCGCGCCCCCTGTCTCAAGGATCGTGCTCATCTCAGATTTTCTTATGCGTTCTTGCATGTGTTCAGCAGCCTCAGCAGCTTCAGCTCGCCGAGAACTTCGAGAACGGTGGTGCTGAGATCCCGATCGGACCTCTGTGGGGCACGCTGCTGTTCAGGAACCAACTTCGGACCTCGACCATGATGTCCCGTCTTGGCGCTGTGGCGCCGTCGGCTGTCGGTGGTCATCGTCGTCAGCTGCCGTCATTGTCGTCGGCTGCTGTCGTTGTCGTCGTCGCCTGTCGGGCCCCTGAGGGTCGGCGTGTCGGACGGCGCGGCCATGACAGAATACAGCATTGTCTCGGCGCGGCCCCAGGCAGGTGCTTGTCCCGACGTGCGACGCCCCCCGACACCCATCAGAGGTGCGAGAAGCAATGATAATGGCACTTTCCCCCGAGAGTTCCAGATTCTCTTGCCGTCCCGCGCGGCCAGAGACGACCCGTCGTGTACTGATGGCCGAGGGCCGCTCT